AAAGAGAGTCCAAGAGGATGAAAAAATCTGAGGCTGAAGGCAGAAGGCCTCTATGGGGCTACCCATCCCCACGCTTGAAGTATTCCCTCCCCACTCCAGGTGGCAGAACCAGGTCTTCAAAGCCTTACAGAAGGCCAGGAGTGTGGGGACTGATCGCACCTCCGGGGGCAGAATGTTCCAAAGAGCAGGAGCTACCAGAGAAGGCCCACCTTCTGGACCCCGCCAGTCGAAGTTCTTTCACCGAGGGGGTCCGAAGCATGCCCTCTCTGTGTGATCGGGTGGGACGGGTTGAAGTCATAGGGGAGAGGCGGTCCCTTAGATAACCTAAAGAAAGTTGTAACCCATATCCCATGAGATCAAGATACTCACTTCTAATTTGTATGAAATCATACACAGGTTGGACTAAGCCAAACGAGTTGGCCCAAGGCAAAATAATGAACTTTGCACCAAGCTGATCTTGACTGATCTCAAAAAACTAAGCACAGTCACACTGGTTACTACTTCCTTGGTTACCAAAACTACAGTGCAGACTGGGATGTTTAAAAACTACTCCAAAAGAAGGGAATGGCAAATCAGTTTTGTAACATTGCTAAGAAATCTTACATGGATATATCTGTTAAATTATGAGGAGTCAAGCTCAATTTGAAGGAGATTTATTGTTCTGCCACTGTAGTATTCCTGAATGAATCATAGGTACGCATGATAGTTTTAAAAAGCCAACATATTTTAACCTTCCGTGTGCCCCCCAAAGAAAGAGAGAAAGAGAACAAAGTCCTCTTTAAGACCACAGCCTGTAAGTTATTCTTCTTATCACAATTCTCAATTCTAAAAAGACACCTACTTAGAAATCATTATAAAGCCTTTAAAAAACATTTTTATCCATTGCATAGACACACAAGGAAATCCAGGAACTTTCCATTCATTCTGTCTTGCAATGAATAAAAAGTAAAGGCCTTTATCTAAGACCACTCAAGCTAAACCATTCATAAACTATGTCTCCCAAACAGGGCTTACCTGATCAAATTTATTTACATCATTTGATAAAAGATTTACAATTTGACCTGTTGTAGTTTTTGACATGGCTGCATTGCTCAGACGAAGTGCCTAAAATCAGAAACAAACTTATTTAAACATCACATTCATACATTGAACAGTATTTAGTCACAGCATTTTCCCAACTTAGGCAAGTTTCACCTTTCTAAATTCTTCCTTTCTTAAACATACATATACTACTTGTAAAATCTTCCAAGATGTAATAATCACTTTGTGTGAACAGTGTATGATGAAACAGACTCCAAAAATCAGTTGTTTGAGGATCAAAAACCAAGGTTCAAGTCTAAGTACAAGATAGCTGAGAAAGAAGACCATGACATGTCACACTGAGTTACCATACGTGAACTTGCCATTTTGATCCATAAATCATGGTTTATGGCTTAGACTGTTGTGTGAATCCAGCCAACTATGGCTTACTCAATTTGGTTTGTATCGCATATGATCCCAGCCTCTCCACAGCTAGCAGTGACTGTATTACTTTTTCCTCTTTAGAAACATACAGAAACCAGGAAAGCTCATATAACAAATTGCTATTTTTAAGCACTGGCCTGAAATGTCCTCTGCCTCCTGCATGAGACGTTGATTAATGTACAATGGTTGTGAAGATACCTCATGTAGAAGTAATCAAATAATCAAGATTCCTAATTCTATGCAATCTACTCTCTCTTCACATATTCTGAAATATTTGCAGATGGGTTGAAAGGTCTTACCTTGAGGTTATTAAACCTATAAACCTAAAACTATATTATTGGAGACCAATAGAGGTGAATATGTGTAGCTCAGGGTTGAACTGTGGAGTCCATGGGGTTCTCTGAGCTTGGTTCTTTTCTTGCAAACATTTAATTACCCAGCTAGGTAACATCTTCAGTGCTAAAATGGGATGCAGTTTGCTCTCTATTTATGTGCTGTGGCCTGCTTTGCCAGTACTGGTGGGGGGGGCGGTTCTGTTTTGCTCTTCTGGTAGTTCTTGGATTGGCACGTGTTTACTGCTTGATTGTGTGCCTGGTGGTGACCTTTGCTTATCTGGGTGATGATTGCTGGTGAGGCGATCTTCTGATCCTTTGCCAGTACTGGTGGGGGGGGCGGTTCTGTTTTGCTCTTCTGGTAGTTCTTGGATTGGCACGTGTTTACTGCTTGATTGTGTGCCTGGTGGTGACCTTTGCTTATCTGGGTGATGATTGCTGGTGAGGCGATCTTCTGATCTTTTGTCTCCTTTGAATAGTATGTAGATGCTGTTAATCTCTATGTGTCTGTTAATTGCTGCCTCGTCTGAATACCAGGCTTCCAAGAACTTCTGAAATATTACTACAGTGCATCTATAGATAGATAGATATTGATACAGATGCACACACTCACTGTATTGGCACCACAAAAGTTTGGCAAGGAAAGAATGATGTGGACCCCTCTTCCCCTTTACACATATAAGAAATATCTGTGTAAAAAAGGTATATTTAGCAGCTCAGGCAGCTGTGTATAATTTAGAAAGCTTTGTACTATATTGCAAATCCCTCCATACATGCACTCTGTAGTTAGGAGGGAAGTTTTGTGGGTTGTATCATTGTTTTATTAATCACTCTCACTTTAATATTTGGGCTCCCGAGTTATATGAAGACCAGGTATGTCATCAGACTATTGCCAGGTGCTATCTGGTAGGGACCCTGTATTTCCTAAAACCTACTAAAGTTATGGTCCATGATAAGATCTGCTACCAGTCCATCCCCAGGTGTTATTGTTCATACTTTCTATCACTTCCTAGTATAAAAAGTTGTCAAAAGCCCCAAGATCTTTTGAATCTCAGCATGAACCCAAAGTCTTAGGAGGGTGCTTGCAGCTACTGGCTCCAAGGGCTCCACTGGTTGCCATTCTTGGGGTTCCTGGCAGGCCGAAGAGACGTGGATTTCTTTAACTCTCTTAGTATTTATTCGATAATATTCTTTTTGGGGTTTCACCTTGCTTTGAGTTTACTAGTAATGCATAACTTATTGTGCTGCTGAGAAAGTTGTCACAGCAACTGTTGTAAATAACCAGTTTGCTTTCACAATGCTTGGGGCCTCCTTGCCAGCCTTTCTTGCCCAATGGATTCATACCCAGTGCACATTTTCTGTCAGACATAGGCTTCTACACATAAGCCGAAAACATATTTACCCCAACCCTTCCCTTTTTAGGAAAAGGAAAAGTCTTTGTTCTTTTGGGACGCTTCAGGCAGAACCCAAGAACTTGCTTGGGTTGAATCTGAGCCTGAAGTTTCCAATTCCCAACCAAATTCCTGAAGGATACTGTGATTGACAGTGTCAGAGGCCACTGAGAGATCCAGCAGATCAAGTATAGTTGTTCTCCCACCATCCAAGTCTCAGCACAGATCACCCATCACAGCTACCAATGCTGTCTCCATCCTATGCCTAGGCCTGAAACTAGACTGCCATGGCTTCAGATAATTCATATCCTTCAGAACTTTATGTAATTATGTAGTCATCACACTAATTGCAAATATGAATTATTTTATCCACTAAATACTCAGCTGGATGGTCACAATCTACACTAACCAGATATTCGTGACATGTTGTGTTATCACCTAACAGGGTCAAGGACACTCTAAACAGTCCAGCAGATGAACATTTGGGAGACTCAGTAAGAATAAAAAAGAGAACTCATTACACTGCTTTATCACCACAAGTAAGCTCAAATCTGAGTTCATACTCGTGTCCAGTCCAACTTGTCTTTTTTTTTTTTTTACTAGCATTGCTCCTGATGTCTCTTCACACACTTTATTTCTCACAGCTCCATAGAAAAGCAAGGAACAGTCTCAAATTAGTAGGAAGAGAGAGGTCACTTAGGGGTAATTTGTTCTACTGGATCATTTCCTTGTTCCATTCATTTGCATTTGCTAGCTCTTCGGATCAGAACAGCACTGTAATTTCTCTTTTCCAATGTAGTTTATCTTAATACTTAATGCTAAAGGGAATTTTTCTACAATTTTAATTTTCTTTTTAGTGGCATTTAATTTTGCCTGTATCTTGCAAGATTGATTTACCTCAAGGAAGAAAGGATTAATAAGCCTAGTTCCACACCTCAATGCTTTTTGGTCAAGAGGTGATCCTATGTCAATATATTTCTTTTGCGTTGTTTTTCACTTTTCCCTAGTAACTGCCAGAAAATAACCCAGGGTTTTACTCTCATTCACATGACAGGATTAAGAGGAAGGCACTCCACAGAAGACAGCAGCAATGAAAACTATCAAACCGCTATTCTAAGAGGCAGGGTTAGGGTGCAATGGTCAAGAGGATTTCTGGGAAAGGAAATAGGAGTTCTCCACTCTTCTACCCTATGGAAGCTGCTACAACAAAGCCTACAACATTTTCTCAGGCCCTGAATTATTGACTCTTTTAATGCCAACGGCAGCTATTCTTCGACCCTCTACTGCTGCTCCATCTGCAAGGAGAAGCAACGTTTCTCTTCTGTTCTATCAAAGTATCCTTCAGACTCAGCCCTTCCTATTTTGCTCACGTATACAAGATGCTAGGGTAAGTCCCTCCTATCCTTTTGCAATGCCATACTCTGTAAAACCTCACTGCCACAACTTTTCCTATTCTAAGCATTTGTTCAGAAGCATCATTTTCTGTTCTAAGAAAAAAGGCTACATCAAATATTGAAGCTATCATGAAAGTGTTTTGGGGAAATCTGTTTCAGATAAAGAAAGGAGTCCATTTCTCTCTCTGCGCTTCTCATACAACAATGCTGGCAACGTTTTAAGGACAGAACTCCTGTTTGTGCTTCCCCACGCTATGGTGCATTGTCTGAGAATTACAAGCACAGCAAGATCTTCAAACTGTGGAACAACTTGTACTCACAGTCCTTGCTTTTCACACTAACCATGAGAACCAATTCACGGACACAATTCACTCTTCAGGATCTTGCTGTTTTGAAGATTTAACAGAAATATCACCCAATAGTGATATACTGTAGAAAACCATTTTTCTAGTCTTGACAGAACTTTAACACAGAGATATCATAAATATCCACCAAGCTCAGATGCATTACACCTGCTATCAGAAGCCTTATCCTGTCTTAATATGTGCAAAGCATTTAAGTATATCAGAGGATTAAGTTCCTATCAAATAAGGTGGTAATCGGTGCTGTTTTCCCACAGTGCAATCCCACACCCTTGTCAATAGTGTGTGAACAAACATGTGAAGGCCAATCACAGTACAATAAATGAGTAGAAAATGATTAATTCAAAATATAAATAGTCCACCCCCAAGGTTCCTTCTTTGTCCCACAATGTGATTTCCATGGCTCTACAAGCATGCTTAAAAGGACGTAAAGTAATGCATTTCATTCCCACACACATTTAATGGTGAGTCCCTAAGGAGAGACCCATGTCTGTGCAGTAAATTAATTTTGTTTAAACCAAAAATTAAACTTAACATAAAGAGTGGCATAATACCTGGTCACTGTTTCACAGAAAAGTTGTTGCGTACAACAGTTAGCAGGAAGATTACCCCACAGGAGTAACAGTGAACAGATAAACATTTCATCATTCTATCAATAACATACAAATCTTTGGCTTAAGCAAAGAAGAAAAACCTTAAACCTAAAGGTGAACCCTCCTAAATATCCTCTAAATTTCTGATGGAGGTCTCTACATACAGAGAAATGCCTCCAAACCCTCCCTATGGGCTGAAAAACTCTGGAAATCCTACCCATCACCCCCTCCAACCCTCCCTGCAGTTCTCTACTATCAGGAAAAACAATTCAGGAACAGCCTGGCTATTTCTGAACTCAGACTTTAAGGCCAACACACTATGTCAATAGATCATGTTGCTGATAACTGGATATTACTTACAAATCCCTGTGTTCAGGTTATTCAGTTATACTCAACATCCTAAATGTCTAGGTGTTAAGGGCATACAATCCCCCAAGTACCTCATACTATATAGGTTTGTAGTTATATTTTTGTGAATCAAATTATCACTGCTTGCTTCTTTAAGTCAACACCACCATCACCGCCCCCAGTTCCCATCTTCCAAAGTCATGGGTTGTGCAAATCAGGAATTATTGGACTTGCAGTCCAATAAATCTGGAGGTAAGGTGACAGAAGGCCAGAGGCTAGTCATGATTTGGTATCTCCTCTCTGGAGATCTGTTAAGATGCAACTGCTAGAGAGTTTACTGCCTCCAGTACAAAGATAAGCATGTATTATATATATATAAGTTATATATATTTTAAATAAACAAAAATATTACAAAACTCCATAGGTTCCAATGGCCACCTTCCAGAGAAAACATGGAAATAAGCATTGTTTTCTTCAACTTCTCACTGATAAGAGAAGTAAGGGAAATGTAACAAGATATCAGCAATGCATATATCACCAAGAGAATGGAATTTCAACTAGTTCTATTACTGTTTTAATATAAACTAGGGTAGTCCAATGCCTAATACTTTGTCACCCTAAAATTATGGGTGATCAGCATAGGGAAAATATGCTGATCAGTTGAGGTTTTGCAAATACAGTGAAACTTCAATTTCAACAAACCAGTTGGGGGAAGGGTATCCATTATTCCTGACTACCTATTAAATCAGATTTAATTATGTCCTCTGCAGCAACATTATGCAAATGATGCAAATTATATCATCTGCATCATTATATCATAAAGAGAATGAGAATACCATCTATTTCATGCCAAGTCCATTGCACTAAGATCTACTAAATCATGGGTCCAATGTAATTTTTTAAAATTGAGAAAGAGTTATACTTAGTGATTTCAACGACTTCTGGAATATTGAGAGATAAAATAGGAAAGTAATCAGAACCCTAAAAATAAAGAGACAGGAGCCCAACACGAATCAGTAAGCGTGTAACTCAGTAACCTTCCTGAGTTTTTTGTTTTTAACCCTGCAAAGATGCAGTATTTATTGTAAAGGTTGCTCCATGACTCCCATAACACACCATAGTATATTATCCAGAACAGCAAATTAAATCCTCAGAGATGAGTTTATACCCAAGAAAGCATCATACCTAATGACAACAGAGTTCCTGGGAGGTTATGACCAAGTAGCAGAAGGAAGAGTGCAGGCTGAAAAACAAACTTAGCTTTCCTTCGAATATACCATAGCCTGGGCACAGAGAGAACTGCTCCTGTCTGTGCTCCTGCACTCTGAAGATG